AGGGGGCATGCAGGAGGCAGCCGATCAAGGATTCTCTCTCACTATTGATGCTTCTGTATCTCTCTCCCTTCCTCCCTGAAATCAATAAAAATCTATTTTGAAAAAATACCTCAGTCCCTTAAGGGTTTCTGCCATGATTGTGTGGCTCAGTTGGCTCAATCATAAGGGTCGATTTTTTACAAGTTTATATTGAGCTAAAGTGTGTCATCTTGGAGTGTCGTTTATTTACCCATCTGCCGGGGTTCTTGTTCCAGCATCTAGAAGGGTTCAGCAATCTGGAGAAGGGCTGTGTGTAACTTAATAAAGAGTCCAGAGATGAAGCATAATTTTGAAAGGCATTTGGGGGCCAGAGGAACCTAAGATCTCCTTGTCTCAGGACCCCTTGCTTTTTATTAACACAATTTGTCCTAAGGTGAGGTGGAGATATACACTTCAAAGGGTAAGGTTTCCTATACTCAAGCATTGTCGGAATGGGGGCATTTGCCTATGGCTGTTCAGGCGTTTGGCCAGTAGGAGGCAATAATATGTAGACTAAGATGCCCTTTTAGCCATTCCCAGATGATTGGGCCCTTCCTGACATGCTGGAACTGGCTCCCGGCACATATCCTTTTAGCCGAAGCATGATCTTATGCAATGTTCACACTTGATGCTGCTTCCCCAAATTCAACATGGGAGGAGCCGCGCAGACTGCAGGCAGGTTCAATCTACTTTGTCGGCCGGGAGGGGATGATAGTTCTTGGAAAGGAGTGAGTGTTCTTCACCGACCTTGGCTGTTACCCTCACGTTTCCTCGCTTCCAACGTGTTCCTTCACATTGACTTTCCGGTGTGAGCCCTGCAGATCGCGTATAGCCCGAGAGAAGAGGCCCTGCCCTCCCTCCAGAGGGGTCGACGCTGAAGCCTCGTAGATGCTTTCTGCAGAGAGGACTTCGTGCCTAAACATCCCGGACCCCTGGTTCCAGCGAATCTGAAGGGAAGAACTTCATGAATCTTTACAACGTGGCTCTTGCCATTTCGTTCGCTTCTTGGCTGTTGGATGCGCGGCAAACTCCTGACCGTGCAGCGTTTCGGGACCACGAGTGCTTGCCTCAGCGTCGCTGCTGGCATCTTCAGTTCCAATAGTATTGGAGCTGTTATTCTGCAAAGAGTAAAGACCGGTGCTTCGCAAATTTTTTAAAAATTGTTCCTGCATTAACTGCTTTAAAATATGTTTCTCCAGAGAGATTTCAAGATTTCAGCTTACGTTTGTGTTCAGTTCACCTAACAGAATAGACAGCGTTACACTGTCCAATAGGTTTTCCTTTAGCTGTGAGAGAGCAGGTCTGAGTATAGACTGTCCTAGTTTGGTGCAGGGTAACCCTGTGGTGCTGGGCTCCTCACCTGGTGGCAGAGCACGGATGGGGTAGACAGTGACTCTAAAAGCCGCAGCCAGAGCTGCACCTCAGATCACTGACGTCCGCGGGCATTTTTTAAAAAAAATCTCTATTGTTGAAAGTATTACATGGGTCCTCCCCCTCCCATTATCGCCCCTCACCACCCCATTGTCTGTGTTCATGGGTTATGCATATATGCAGACAACTTCATGGGTTAATCTCTTCCCACCCATCCACCCCCGCCTTCCCTCTGAGGTTCAACAGTCTGTTCATGCTTCTATGCCTCTGGGTCTATTTTTGATCATCAAAATATCTCCAGTTTATTTGGTTCATTGGATTCCACAGATGAGTGAGATCACGGGATATTGGTCTTTCTCTGACTGGCTTATTTCGCTCAGCACAATGCTCTCCAGGTCCATCCATGCTGTTGCAAATGGTAAGAGTTCTTTGTTTTTTATTGTTGGGTAGTATTCCATGGTGTAAAAGCACTGTACTTGTTGTTTTATCCACTCCTCTGCTGATGGGCACTTGGGCATTTTTTGAGCTGAGTAATCCCGTTACTGGCCTGCGTACCGTGATCGGCCCAGCCTGGGACTCCGGGACCTGCCTGGGGACTCGGTTTAGGGTAAAACGCTCTCGCCCGCCCTGATGAAAGCAGCTGTGCCAGTGGGACCATCTGCATCTGTGTGTGCGGTTTGTGTTGGCATCCCTCCTCCCCTTTCGTATTCTGGAGGCTCTCAAATGGGCCTCGTTTCTGTTGTCAAATATACTTTTGTGTTAGATGCTGCCTCTGACGGGAGACGCCCGTACTGTCTGTTTCGTGGACTCGCCACATGTGCGGCCTGGAGGCCTAGTCTGATCATACGAATGCAACATGCACTCTTGTGGTGAATGTACTTGAGGTTTTCCTTTTATGGGGCGAGGGGTCTTTGTTATTTTACACGTGATAGTGAAGTAGTTGAGTAAAGGATTGTTACTTCCTGGTGTCAGACGATTAGAATATTTGTGGGGATATAGTGTATAATCAGTCACTCACAGAATTTGCACTTACATTTCTGCCGACTGCGATGGAAGGACAGTGCGTGCCTTGTTGTTGAAAAGCACGCACACAGGGGTGTGTTCCTTTGCTGTGTGAACGTCCCGGCTGACTGCTTCCTGCAGCAGGTGGTGGGGGCAGGTATCCCGTGTGGCTGTGTGGCTGCGGAGATAAGCTATCCAGTCGCACAGTCACGGTGCACCAGTTGGTGTTTCTTATATGTATTTTTTGGATCCTGTTGGTGCTCTATTTTGTAGAAAACAATGCCAAGCCCAGATCATCTCAAGAAGATAATAGTAGGGGGAGGAGACTTGGAAGGTCAGGGAGAAAAATAAAGGGTGAGGGGAACAAGGGGATGGTCCACAAGAGCTGTCTCTTCCAGCGTAAGGTGCGCAGGACTCACCCAGTGCACCGTGGGCCTCGCCTCCCTGTGAAAACCAGCCGCGGGGTGAACTCTGGCCCCTCGATGGCTGGGGCTTGAAAGAGAAGCAAGACACGTGTGACCCAGGTGAGCTCTGGGTTATCCTTACTTTTTCCTCCCACTGGCCAACGGTTCTCAAATTTCCGTTTTACAGGATGGTCCTCTCTGAGCCTCGCATTCAGGAGGTTTGGGTAGGGCTTAGGAAGGCGTGATCCAGGTGGTCTGAGAGAAACGTTGCCCTACGTTATCTCTGGGTTAGTATCCAGTAAATCGGAGAGAAGAGTCGAGCACACGCAGGTTCATGCCTGGAGCCCAGTCATGCTTAGTCATGGAGTGTGTATCGTGGGGCCGCTGAGGAAGTGCTTCTAGCCCGTCGGCGTGGTAAACTGGGAGATTCCTGGGCGAGTTTTAAAGGACACTGATGGCCAGGAGGACACACGAGGCCTGGGACCTGACGGATAAAATCACAGGTGACAACGTGTGTGCTCAGGACTGATTTCAAGAGTCAAGTGGGCAGCAGCTGGTCAGATGAGATGGGGGTTACTCGAAGTCACAAGAAGAACCTTGGGCTTCTACAGAGTAAGGGTTAGGGGGGAGGCAGGCAGGGAGCCCTGCGCAACAGTGGGTTCACACTTGAGATCCCTGGCGTCTGAAAAAGGAGATGGACACAAGGACAAAACGATTATAAAACCACCTCAAATCATTAGCAACATCAACTAGGGTGCCCTGATGCTGATGGGGAAAATAAGACATTTTTGGGGCGAGGGCAGGGGGGCCTAGCAATCTGAATTTGTGCCAGTAACCTAATGTACCTTCTTGATAACCTATAATTAAGTCACTGCTCTTTTCCCAGAAACTGGTCTAGCAAGACCTGTTACCTAAATGCTCACATCTTAGAGGCCATAAACCATGACACAGCCCCGGAGTGGGGTTACTAGTGCTGGCGCCAGGCCAGGCTCTTAGGTGTGGTCTCAAGACCCCCAACACCTGGGGCTTTTTGCAAAGCCTGTGAAAGGTCCAGAAGTATAACCCATATTTGGGGGACAAAGACACCAAAAGGGGATGAAAGAGGGGCTTCCACCATATTGGTTTGCTCAGAATTTGAGAGGCAACCTCCTCTGAGTCGCCGGCGTAATAAAGCCGTGTAACTCCATTTCTCTAAGCGTTGCTTGTTTTTTCTCCCGTGTTCTATAACAATGCTATTTAACGTTTGGTTTCTAGTGGTTCTTGTTGCTTTAAAAAAATTTTTTTTTAATTGATTTCAGAGAGGAAGAGAGAGATAGAAACATTGATGCTGAGAGAATCATTGATCATCTGCCTCCTGCACAACCCGGGCATTGAGCCTGCAACCTGGGCGTGTACCCTGACCAGGAATTGAACCTTTACCTCCTGGTTCATAGGTCGACCCTCAACCACTGAGCCACGCTGTCCGGCTCTTGTTGCTTTTTTAAACATTTGAGGATGGATTAGGGAGGCCGCTGAGCATCTGGGACACATGATCGAGGTGTTATTGAATGCCCCGCACACATGTGAGCCTGAAAGGGTGAGAGGGCATTTAAATGGGTCAATGCTGCTTTAGTTGGTAAAACTGAGCTGCTGCGACCAGTGACCTGCAGCCAGCTGCTGGGGGGGTGTGGCTTAGGGAGGACAACGGGGCCCAGGTATTGCCTGGATCCACGTGACTGAGACACAAGAGGCCTCCGGATGGATGCCGACCTCTCCACCGGCCAGTGTCTCCAGAGGAAAAGTGCTGTGCGCCTCCTGGGCCTCTCTCTCTGCGGGGTTAGCTGCGTGCACGGGGCCGCGGGCAGTCACGCATGTGGAGAGCGACACGGGGAAGGGGAGTGTCAGGGGCGAGGCGGTGGCGCGAGCCAGGGGCACTTACTGGCGCGCATGGGAGGTCCAGACCCAACGCTCAGGGACCGTCACGGGGCCCTGCACCCGCCCCGCCCCCACGGCCCGCCCCGCCCCCCCACGGCCCGCCCCGCCCCCACGGCCAGTCCCACCCGCGGGGACCTGCCTTTGTCTCTTTCGGCTGCCCAGTGGCTGGCGCCGCCGAGGCCCCGCCTCCTCCCGCGGGCGTCCCCAGCGCGAGGGCGTGGCTTTGTGACGCACACCCTGACGTCACCGGGGATATAAAAGGCCCCCTCGAGCGCGCTGTCGGCCAGGAGCCGCCCGCAAGGAGGCGCGGAGGAAGCCGCCCCAACCCCGCTGAGGAGAAGGTGGGGCGGCTGCGCCCCGAGGCGGTTAGGCTCTGGCGTCGCGAGGTGGGCGGTGGACGGTTCCTCCGGCGGCGGGGAGGCCGCTGCAGCGCCGGAGCGGGAGACCCGCGGCGGGGAGGGCGCACCGTGCGGGGACCGGCGGGCGCCTCGCCGCCTTCCTCGCCTGAGCCCATTCCTGCAGATTCGGGGTACCCGCCCCCCTCGTCAGCGCCCGCCTCACCGAGCAACAGGCCCGGCGAGTCCAGACCCAGCGGGGCCGCCCGCGGGGGCCGTTGGGAGCGCGTGGTGCGCGCTGGGCGTGTTTTCCGGACCGCCGGCCTCGCTGCCCCTCAGCCCCTCACCCTCACGGCCCTCAGCCCCTCACCGCCCTCAGCCCCTCACCCCCCACAGCCCTCACCCCCTCAGCCCCTCACCCCCCACGGCCCTCACCCCCTCACCCCCACGGCCCTCACCCCCTCAGCCCCTCAACCCCACGGCCCTCACCCCCTCAGCCCCTCGCCCCTCAGCCCCTCACCCCCACGGCCCTCAGCCCCTCACCCCTCAGCCCCTCACTCCTCAGCCCCTCACCCCCTCACCCCTCGCCCCTCACCCTCACCCCCTCAGCCCCTCAGCCCCTCAACCCCACGGCCCTCACCCCCTCAGCCCCTCACCCCTCAGCCCCTCACCCCTCGCCCCTCACCCCCACGGCCCTCACCCCCTCAGCCCCTCACCCCCACGGCCCTCAGCCCCTCAGCCCCTCAACCCCTCGGCCCTCACCCCCTCAGCCCCTCACCCCTCAGCCCCTCACTCCTCAGCCCCTCACCCCTCACCCCTCACCCCCACGGCCCTCACCCCCACGGCCCTCAGCCCCTCAGCCCCTCAACCCCACGGCCCTCACCCCCTCAGCCCCTCACCCCTCAGCCCCTCACCCCTCAGCCCCTCAGCCCCTCAGCCCCCGGCCCCTCAGCTCTCGGCCCCCGGCGACTGGGTGGCGCTCACGGTTTGGGGGCTGTCAGATGCGTTGGTTTTTTTTGTTTAATCCTCACCCGAGGCTGTTTTTTGGGGGGTTTTTTTAGAGCGAGTGGAAGGGAGGAGGAAACTATGTTAGTTGTTGACTAGTCTTAAAAGAAAATACGTTTTTACTGATTTCAGAGAGGAAGGGAGAACGAGACGTCAATGGTGAGAGCGTTGCTGAGGCTGCCTCCTGCTCGCCCCCCAGGGCGGGGTGAGGGGCCTCAGGCTGAGAGACACTGAGATCCCGCCTAGCAAGGACCCGCCCTCAGAGGCCCCAGCTGCTAACCGCCAAAGAAAGGGTCTCCTGTTAGTTTTCAGGAGATACAGCTGTTGACTTCAGAGAGCAGGAGCGGGAGAGAGAAGCATCACTGATGAGGGAACATGGATGGGCTGCCCCCTGGAGACCCCCACGGGTCAAGCCCGCACCCGAGCATGCCCAGCTACTCACTGGGGTGCGAAGGGGGCCCCATAACTGCACCTGCAGCCCTGCCCGGGGCGAGTGGGGGAGCAGCACCTCTGACCCCGGAGGTTAGGGTTCGTGGGCTCCACCCCAGTAGGGCACGTGCAGGAGGCAGCCGATCAGTGATTCTCATCATTGATGCTTCTCTCCCCCTCTCCCTTCCTCTGGAAATCAACACAAATATATATATTTTTAAAACTCTCCGCATGCACATGTAGTAAGTATATATATGTGCGTGTATCACACATAGAATTACTGCCTGTGTCCCTAACACACAGCCTGTGGGCTTGCCAAAGCTACACTCCTGTTTGTTTGTTTTTTAAATATATTTTGATTGATTTCAGAGAAGATGGGAGAGGGAGAGAGAGCTAGAAACACCATGATGAGAGAATCATTGATCGGCTGCCTCCTGCATGCCCCACACTGGGGATCAAACCTGCAACCCGGGCCTGTGCCCTTGACTGGAATTGAAACCAAGGACCCTTCAGTCCACAGGCGGATGCTCTATCCACTGAGCCACACGGCCAGGGCGGCCCTCCTGCTCCTAAAGCTGGTGTAATTCAGCCAAGTTCCCGCTGCAGGAGGTTCTGGTAGTAAGTTTTCATGAGGGGACTCGATACACTTATATTCCCAAAGGGTTTGCTTTGGCCGATCCAGAATTATTTTTTTCCTGACCTTTGGGAAGATAAAATGTGCTTTAAAAAATTTTTTTTTAATTAAAAAAAAAATCATTACCGGAGGATATGTTTTAATTGACTTGAGAGAGGCAGGGGGAGAGAGAGAGAGGGAGGGAGGCATCAATGGGTTGCCTCCCGCACATGCCCAGAAGGGATCAAACCTGCAACTGGCAGGGGCAACACCGGGGTCAGGAAACGTGCTGCTAAATAGCATTTTGCTCTGACGGTTAGAGGTCAGCGCCTGTGTCACTGTTGCAACGCAACTGCCTCTGAACCCCTGCAACTCGTTACTTCCTGGGGGGATGTGGGGGACGCTCGCCTGTCACACACGGCTCCCCTCTGCCGAGGACCCCCGGCTCCAGAGTGGCTGGGGTTCGCCCAAGCGCCCACTTGCTTTTTATCTCGGGGAAACCGCACTGCTGACCAGCTGTGTTGTGTTTGGAATGGCCGCCCGTGGCTGGGCTGACCCGACACCCTTGTCCTGGCATCCTAGCCTGACCTGTAGCCCCATCCTGTTTTCATCCGGATGGACGTCCTTGTTAATTTTGTCCTTTATGTGTATTTGTAAGCTTCCGTAAATGTTTCTTCAGAATGACAGAATGTACACACACGCTGACACCTCGCTGGCCACCACTGCAGCTCTGAGAACTGCAGGTTACAGGTGCATCGCCCGTGGCACCATTTACAATCCAGAAGGTGGGAGCAGGGGAGAGCAGAAGCCTGGACAGAGGCTGAGGGAGGAGAGAGAGAAGAAAGGTGCACAGGCTGGTGACGGGTGTGATACCGAATGTAACTTATGCCCATGCTGACTGTTTTAAAAAGCGAAGTTTCGCCCTGGCCCATATTGCTAAGTGAGTGTAGGCCCAAGCACTGAAGGGTTGTGGTTGTCTCCCTCCCTGTACCCCGGGGGCATGTGTGGGAGACAACCAGCCCATCTGGCCCTCTCACATTGATGATCCTCTGTCTTTCTCTTTCTCCCTTTCCTCCACTCTCGGGGGCGGGGGGGGGGGGGGGGTGAGCAATGGAAAAATATCCTCAGGTGAGGATTAAAAATAATTTAAAGCTAAAAAATGTATACTTAAATATGATCAATGTGCCTGGGGATATATTTAGAAAAATGAGGGGGTGGGTGGGGGTATCATGTCCTGGCCAGGTGGCTCAGTTGGTTGGAGTGTCATCCCATACACCAAAAGGTTTTGGGTTCAATTCCCAATCAGGTCACATACCTGGGCTGCAGATTTCATCTCCAGTCCCCAGTTTGGAGGAGTATGGGGGGCAACTGATTGATGGTTCTCACGTCATTTCTCTCCCCCCCCCCCCCCATTTCCATCCTCTTCCCTCTCTCTCTTCCTCTCTAAAATAAAACATCAATAAAACCCTCAGATGAGGCCCTGACTGGTTTGGCTCAGTGGATAGAGCGTCGGCCTGTGGACTCAAGGGTCTGGGGTTCGATTCCGGTCAAGGGCATGTACCTTGGTTGCGGGCACATCCCCGGTAGTGGGTGTGCAGGAGGCAGCTGATCGATGTTTCTCTCTCATCGATGTTTCTAACTCTCTATCCCTCTCCCTTCCTCTCTGTAAAAAAATCAATAAAATATATTTAAAAAAAAAAAACAAAAACCCTCAGATGAGGATTAAAACTAAGGCAGATGGTTTCTTGTAGAAACCCTGCTTTATAACCCTGAATGTTCAGAAAAGCCAGTGCCCATGTGGTTTGGAAGGATGATTGGATACAGATAAATGAGCTTAATATCTTTCTCCTGAAATTTTCTTGCACAAAATATTTACTGAATTTTACAGAAACAGGTTTCATTTGGGTTATTTGTTTGTTCTTTGTGTTTAATATCGTCCTGGAGCTCCTGGCAGGGCTGCCCTCAGGGGTTTCTATCAACAGCACTAAATTGCTCACCTGCACATGAAAAGCTATTGGTAACTTGATTTTTTTAAAAACTACCATAAGAATTAGCCCATTTTTCCAGAATAAATACTGAGAGATTAGAACTAAAGTTAATAATCTTAATGGAGATAGATTTGATCTTAGAAACTATCGTTAACTCGTAAGAAATACCTGAAGAAGCACTAATAAACTGTCCGACTTTGTTTTTCTTCGCTATAGTTGAGATTACAGACATCCTGCCAAGATGTTCTCTACAAAGCCCAGACTTGTCGTACCTTACGGCCTCAAGACGCTGCTCGAGGGAGTCAGCAGAGCCGTCCTCAAGACCAATCCACCCAACATCACCCAGTTTGCAGCATTTTATTTCAAAGAACTTATTGTGTTTAGAGAAGGCAGGTGCTACCATATTTAGGTTGGAGTAGATGATATTTCCTAATACAAAAACATCCTATAATTCTAGTTTTCTAATTCATTGAGTTAAAACTTTATACACAGTTTCTTTAAATTGAGGAATGCCTTTATTAATATGACAGATATATCATAGACTAGAGGCCTGGTGCATGAAATTCATGCACTGGGAGGGTCCCTCAGCCTAGCCTGCACCCTCTTGAAGTCCAGGAGCCCTCAGGGGATGTCGGACTGATGGCTTAGGCCAGTTCGTGGAGAGTGGGCCTAAGCTGTCAGTCACACATCCTTAGTGCTGCCGGAGAGGCAGGAGAGGCTCCCACCACCGCCTCAGCACTCGCCAGCCATGAGCCCGGTGTCTGGCTGAGTGGCGCTCCCCCTATGGGAGCTCACTGACCACCAGGGGGCAGCTCCTACATCAGTGATGGCGAACCTATGACACGCGTGTCAGAAGTGACACGCAAACTCATTTTTTTGGTTGATTTTTCTTTGTTAAATGGCATTTAAATATATAAAATGAATATCAAAAATATAAGTCTTTGTTTTACTATGGTTGCAAATATCAAAAAATTTCTATATGCGACACGGCACCAGAGTTGTTAGGGTTTTTCAAAATGCTAACACGCCGAGCTCAAAAGGTTCGCCATCACTGTCCTATGTTGAGCATGTGCTCCCTGGTGGTCAGTGCACGTCATAGCAACCAGTCATTCTGCTGTTCAGTTGACTTGCATATTAGCTTTTATTATATAGGATTATATATTTGTTTCTGCAAAAAAGCATTTAAGTTGGAGGATTTTTTGTTTCTGATTTCCTGTATTTATTTCTTCAGGGAACATTCCTCTGGATATAAAAGATCTGGTTAGACAATTTCATCAGATTAAATGTAAGTACCACAAGTGGTAATAATAGCACAATAATATTAGTTATAAGTTATTGCATTAGCAATAGCACACATTCAAACTTAAGATGCCCACAAACGTTTTCTCTCTAAATAATCGCACTTTATGTTGAAATAAACTGATGCTTTATTTTTTGTTATTGGATTAGGTTTATTTATTAAATCTACTGACATTTTGGAAGGTTCTCAATCTTAAAAAGGCAAAAGTAGGAAATGTACACTGAGTGGATAGATTATTATGACCACCTGACATTTCTAGGCAAATTAGCTATAATTTTGCGCTGAAGTTGCTAGAGGGCCAGACCATTATAAATAAGGAAGCAGGTTGTTTACCATGACAGTAGAAGTGATTTTTTTTCTGAAGATATGGGTAAACAACGCGATTTAACAGCCTTTGAACGTGGGATATATATACACTAGGTGGCCAGATTATTATGGCCACCTGACGTTTGTAGGCATATTAGCCGTACACTGCATCGTCTGGGATATGGAAGCCGAAGGCCTGTTCGAACACCTTTGCTGTTACCAAGATAAAACGTCTCCACTTCGCACAGGAACACAAGGATTGGACAGTCAAGCATTGGAAAAAAAGTCATGTGGTCTGATGAATCACGTTTCCAGTTGCATCATGCAGATGGCAGAGAGAATTTGACAGAAACAGCAGCATGAAAGCATGCACCCCACATGCTTGAGTACAACCCTTCAAGCTGGTGGGGGCAGTGTTATGGTTTGGGGCATGTTTTCCTGGCATGATTTGGGCCCTTTAATTCGTGTGGAACAATGTCTGAATAGCACAACATACCTAAGTATCATTGCTGATCAAGTTCATCCTACCATGTTGATGGCATATCCCAATGGAGAGGGCTTCTTCCAACAAGACAATGCGCCATGCCACGGTGCTCTTATTGTGCAGGAGTGCTTTCAAGAACATGAGGGAGACTTTACCTTGCTTAGGTGGCCCCCACAATCACCAGATCTCAATCCAATTGAGCATTTGTGGGACGAAGTTAAAAGCCATCAGGCAACTGGTTCTACAACCATCAAATCTCACAGAACTGGACAGTGCTATTCATCAGGCATGGTGTCAGATTCCTCGCATCACCTTTCAACATCTCGTGGAGTCAATGCCAAGAAGAATCGCCCCAGTATTGAAGGCAAAAGGTGGCCCAACGAAGTATTGATGGGGTGGTCATAATAATCTGGCCACTCTGTGTGTGTGTGTGTGTGTGTGTATACCACGTTCAAAGGTTGTTAAATCGCGTTGTTTACCCATATTTTCAGAAAAAAATCACTTCTGTCGTAAACAACCTGCTTCCCTATTTATAGTGGTCTGGCCCTCTAGCAACTTCAGCGCGAAATTATAGCTAATTTGCCTACAAACGTCAGGTGGTCATAATAATCTGGCCACTCAGTGTATATTGCAAGCCATTTGGTACAGTGAGACTTACAACAGTGTATGAGCTGTGACTCAATCCCTCTCCAGCAGGCTTCCGAGGATTTGTCTTGAGGGAAGCACAGCAAATCAAACAGAATTGGTTTTGTAGTAAAAAAGACTCAACTACATTGAAATATATAGGAAAGCTGCGTAAACACTCTCCTTGGAAGATCCTTTTATAAAGAAGCTTAACCACCTCCTTCCTCCCCCATCTCAGTAGTGTAACTAACTGCAGTCCAGGCTGGAAGACAATTAGGACACAAGTTTGTTGTCACTGGCCATCTTTCTTAGTCGTCCTAAGTCTTAAGATAATGAGTTCAGTAAATGCACAATGAGAGGATGGGTCCTAGAGGTTTCATTCTAATATTAGGGAGCAGCTGAGAGGCTTTACCGGTGAAGTAAGTAGTTACAGCTCAGGTGGTCACACAGGCGTGCGGGTGACAAGCAGAAAAAACCTTACAGTTGTCCAGCTGTAGGAGTTTCTCGGTCATCAGCTGCCTTGACGTTCCTGGAATTTCCCTCTTGCTGAGGGTACACCCAGGGATCCAGAAATCTCTTTTTTGCTCCTTTTTTGTCCGGGTCAGGGGGACTGGCTGCATTACCCCAGCTCACCAGCAGGGGCTACTGCTTTTAGGTAGGAATAGATGTTGTTTCCTAATAGAAAAACATACTGTAGTCCTGGGTTTCCAGTTCATTACGTTAAACTTTAGACGCCAGTTTCTTTAATGTGAGGAATGCCTTTATTACAATAGAAGGCATTCCATAAACCAGCAGAAGGCTGGGTGTTCCTGGCCGGGGAAGTCTGTCCCCTCCCTGGTTGTGTGTGGCAGTTGGATTGGCAGCTGTTCCCATGGAGGTTCCAGCTTCCTCATTTCCAGGCAGCGTTAGTGTCTTTCCTTAGGTGCTGACCAGCTGAGTTGGCAGCTGGTTGACTTTGTTGTCATGCCACCTGAATCACTCACTTTTCAGGAGATGGAGGGAGGGAGAAAGAGTCTTGAAGTGGGCAGAGCAGGGCAGTCACATTCCTTTCCCCACTACATTGCAGATGTTGTAAAATCAAAGCTCTTCTGTACTCGTGTGTATAGAATTGACGTGTGAATGTTTAGCCTGTCGCCGCTTCTTTAATGTGTGTCATCGGCGGTGTACGCTTACTAACCCCGGCTGCTATTTCAGTTGAGAAATGGTGCGAAGAAAGGACAGAAGAGAAGAAGCCAGAGTTCATAAAAGAACCAGGAGAAGCAGCTGCCGTTCCCAAAGAGCCGACCCGGGTGGAGAAGTCCACGGACACGGAGGAGGACCACATCTTCGGACCCCAGCTCATCCACAAGACCACGCAGTTCCCATCCGTTTATGCTGAGCAGCAGCCAGAGACGGAGGACACAAGCAAGGCAGTCCGTCCACCCAAGCCATGCACCCCCAAGACTACCCCCACCTCGTCACCATCCCCGGCTGACGTCCCACCAGAGTTTGCCTATGTCCCCGCCGACCCCGCTCAGTTTGCTGCTCAGATGTTAGGTAACGTTTCATCTACTCATTCTGATCAGTCTGACGTTTTAATGGTGGATGTGGCAACAAGTTTGCCTGTTTTTGCCGACGAGGTGCTGACTTCAGAGGTTGCTGAAGACACTGTGGTGACCACTTCTGTTGCAAATTCTGGAGAGAGGGTAGCAGTGCAGGTGGCAAGCCACTCCTCTGTCCGTGTAGCTTTGGGGTCTAAGCCTACAGATGATCAGGCTGAACCAGCAACGGCTCCCTCACCCCCCTTGCAGGATGAACAAGACCTCCCTGCCTTTGATCAAGCTCCTCGGGGGTCCTGGCAGGCTGGCACTGGGGGGAAGGCCACCCCTCATATCTCATCTATCTTTAACGACAAGCCTGTGATTGAAGCAGTTACTCATATGGAGCAAACATCAGAAGAAGTAGTTACCGCTTTTTCCGATCACATTGTTAGTCTTAAAGAGATTGAGCAGTCACCACCAGAGAGTGCCATTCTTGTAGACAAGAGAGTCTCGGGCGGGCCTGAAAAAGCTGAGGGTTCTGCAGAACTTGCCCCGTTGGAGGATGCAAACCATCCCTCCGTGCAGGTGGAGGCAGAAGCAACCATTCTGATCTCCGACACCTCTCTGAAAGGCCTGCTTGCACAGTCCCTGAACCCAGAGGGCGCCGCCCAGGCCATAGGCTCTCAGAGATCTCTGCATCTTGAAGTGGAGATCATTGCGCTAGTTCCCGGGCAGGAGGAGGACTCGGCCCCCCCGGAGGCGGAGGCGGAGGTCAGACCTGTGGGCTCTGGGGAAGCTGCTCAAGCCGGGCAGGAGGAAGACTCCGCCCCCCCGGAGGCAGAGGTCAGACCCGTGGGCTCTGGGGAAGCTGCCCAAGCCGGGCAGGAGGAAGACTCCGCCCCCCCGGAGGCAGAGGTCAGACCCGTGGGCTCTGGGGAAGCTGCCCAAGCCGGGCAGGAGGAAGACTCCGCCCCCCCGGAGGCAGAGGTCAGACCCGTGGGCTCTGGGGAAGCTGCCCAAACCAGGCAGGAGGAAGACTCTGCTCCCCCGGAGGCAGAGGTCAGACCAGTGGGCTCTGGGGAAGCTGCCGAAGCCGTGCACTCAGGTGCCTCAGTAACGCCACCTGGTGGCGTCCTCAGTCCCGCTCCAGAGGGTCTCAGTGGACCAGAGATCGAACCCGAAGGGGAGGCAGCACCTGCACCAGGTTTGATGGAGCCAGGTAAGAAATAGATACCACCTTAGGCATAGCCTGGAGTCACGTTTCAGGCAGCGTCGTATTTCAGGTAACCGTTTAGGAAGGGCCCCTGCAGATTGGTCAGACTTCATTTTAAATAGTTTTTAAAATGCCAAACCCACGGAAAGGCACTGCTGTTGTGGAGACATTACCCTTGGGAGCGATTTTGGAGGGACATGAAATGGGCCTGACCTTGGTCCTCAGCATTTGCATGGCCTCCCCCGGAACAGATTGGAGTGGACTGGAGCCTTTCGACTGTGCCCATCGATGGCCCTGTGGCCCTGCACTCGGGGGCACCTGACCTCGTGCTCAGAGGGTAAGGTCCCACGGCAGCCGTGCGCTTCCCTGGGCTGTGGCATTGCACGTGGAAGACATGGTGGTGTGTTCGCCTCTGCTCTCGCCCCACGTCTGAGACTCTGCAGCCAGGTTTGGGGAGCTGGACCGAGCCCTGGTTCTTCCTGCCATGGAGGGAAGACAGGTTAGGTCAGGCTCTGTCCCCAGGGGAGCAGGGAGGCGGCAGCAGCAGAAGGACAGGTGGCACTGAGCAGTGGGCACGGCTCCCTTCTCAGCGTCCTCACAGAGCCCACACCTGCCTTCGCCTGCGGGAGCCACTGCTTCCCTGGACACAGACCCGCCTGGCCTCCAGCTCATCTGATGGTGGCATTGGGTCTGCTCCCTCCTGCCCATCCACACACGGTCAGGGCCCATTGCCCTGTGGGGTGGACGGGATGAGCAGGAGCCAGTCTCTCCATGCCTTTTGCAGACTCTCAACGTTAACTCTTACCAGAGCCAAATGATGGCTTACAAAGCAGGTGTTTAGACGTAAATTCTGTCTGGCAGCATGACAGGGACTCTGTGCAGCTGGGAAGGCAGCGGGAGGCGGCGCACCTGTGGGCCGAGCAGCACTCCACAGTGAGGCACTGCTCTCAGGTGCTGGGCTCTTCCCCGTGGGCGCCCAGGGTTCTTGAACAAAGCACCGAAGACGTGGCTGATGCGTGTTTCAAATGAACTCCGGGAAGTAGCAAAGGTCGGAAGCTGTGGGAGACACACCAGCGTGACCCTGTGCACAGTGGAGGTGTTTTCTGGGGAAGAGAAGCTGCACCAGGGATACAGGGACAGTGCCCGCAGGTGAGCCTCCCACACCTGGGCCAGGCAGCTTTCCCCTCAGGAGCCTCCCCTCCGCCCAGCTCCCAGGACTCAGCACTGTCTGTCGGTGAATCGACCCCATTAGCTAGTTCTTGGCAGAAGCAGGTGGACAGCACACCCAGGCCGCTTTCCTTAAAGAACCTGTGGGACTGACCAGCCTGTATGCCCACGAGGATTTGTGGGTTGAAGCCTTGCTCCCCGGGGTTGGAGTCCTAGATTGAGTGACAAGTTAACAGGAGAGAAGGGTGCCTGTGAAAAGGCAGAGATACTGGATTAAAAGACGACACCTCGTGCAGACTTCTTTTTTAAAAAACATTTTTATTGATTTCAGAAAGAGGAAGGGAGAGTGGGAGAGAGATGGAAACGTCTGTGTTGAGAGAGAAACACCCCACACTGGGGATAGAGCCCCAACCCAGGCATGTGCCCTCACTGGGAATTGAATCGTGACCTCCAGGTTCATAGGTTGATGCGCAACCACTGAGCCATGCTGGCTCAGATTTTTTAGTCAAGAAAAAGTTATTATGCAGATGCAGTCATCTTTTCTCAGTGGCTTAACCCACTGTCCAGTGGATTCTCTCAGTCCCATTTCCCCTCGAGGGCCCTGAGGCAGCCACGTCTGCAGCTGAAGCCCCTGGAAATAGCCACTTGGAAGGAGCCGCTTTCCCCACAGCCGGTGCCCCCAGGTGCCCTCGCAGCCCTGTTCCGCCTCCTGCTGTGGAGACTCCCTTCATGCTGCCAAACACAATTTACGGAGCCCTCTCTCTAGCATGCTTTATGGCACATGTTACTACAGCTGTTCATCTATACATAAAACATTTACAAAGATAGTTCTGTGCATAGCGCCTGATACAGAGACCAAACCTTTAACGCCTGCAAATTTTTGTTTTATAGCAATAGCAACAAGCGAAGCAGGACAGCCACCACCATATTCTAACACGTGGACCCTTTACTGTCTAACTGATATGAATCAACCAAGCCGCCCATCACCGCCACCTGCACCTGGGCCTTTTCCCCAGGCCACCCTCTATTTACCTAATGCTAAGGATCTGCAGAGTCCACCGAAAGTCACTTCTCCAACTTACGTGATGATGGACGACAGCAAGAAGGCCGGTGCCCCGCCTTTTATCCTAGTAGGCGCCAATGTCCAGGAAGCGCAGGACTGGAAGCCGCTTCCCGGGCACACGGTCGTGTCCCAGTCAGATACCCTGAAGAGATACGCAACAGTCCAAGTGCCCATTGCCGTTCCTGCAGATCAGAAATTCCAGAAACTCCCCCGACATGCCCAGAGTGCTAGTCCTCCTTCCAGTGGACAAGAAGGTCCCCGGCCACAGAGCCCAGTTTTCCTTTCTCTCGCTATCCCGGTAGAAGATGTAGCCAAAAAGTGTTCAGGATCTGGTGACAAACGTACCCCCTTTGGAAGTTACGGTATTGCTGGAGAGATAACCCTGACTACTGCCAATGTCCGCAGAGCAGAACCCTAATGCCACAGGTAATCCCCCACGGTGGGCCTTCGCACACTTGGTTTTCAGCACTCTCATTTGTTGACCTGGAGACAGAATTCTTAAAACATTGAATTGAATTGAGATGTGCAGAGAGTTGGAGTATTCTCTGACTCAATGAAATGGTCTCCACTGATGGGGGCACAGCAGTGCACACACCCAACGGCCCACCGAGGGTCAGGGCCTGGCACAGCCCTCAGCGCCCTCACTCTGAATGCCTGTCGGCGTGTGTAGCTCCCGTGGAAGGCACTCCAAAGGGCATGGATTGTTTTTTAAAAGCTCAGCCTTTGGTGGGAATCTACCCGTGGGCGTGTTTTGGGCTGGGGACAAGCCCGGGGACAGCTGGAGAGCCAGGCAGGCCGGGAGATTGTGCTGGCGCGCCCAGCCAGTGTGGTCAGAGTTGTTCCCTCAGAGAGAATAGTCACAGCAGAGGACAGGTTGGAAATGAGGAAGCTAAGGAGCCAGAGTGGACCTACACGAAGATGCGGGTTTTATCTGTCACTTAAAATGCCAGTGCGAGTCCCTCCCGCCACGGGCGTAGTAAAGAGCAACGCGAACAGGGAACCGGTACAGAGGGCTGAGCAGTTTGAGGAACAAGGCACCATACAGGCTCGCCATCAGGCTCATAAGCTGCTGCCTGAGGCTGAGGGAGCCAGCCCTGCAAAGGGCCACAGACAGCTCTAGGGCTGGAGAGCGATGGGAGTGTCCGCCCTGCACGGGCCCAGTGAGATGGCGGGTGCACGAGGACACCGGAGAGCTTGAGGCACCACAGGTCAGGGGCCTGCAGCTAAAGCCCCTGCACACCCAGAAAGGAGGTCTGGATCGAATGAGGAGCCAGGACAGTGTTGGGTCCCGCTGGCTGCCACGTGGGGAAGGCTTACAACCAGGAGGCAGTTTAGAAGCAGGGAGATGAGGGTACCTATTACAGGGCTGGCTACACCTGAACACCACAAGCTCAGGTACAGCCTGCGTGAGCTCGAGCTCAGCGTCCGATGGACAACAGCTGGGTTCACTCACAGGGTCAGGAGCTGCAGTTCTGTGTTTAAGGAGGTAGTTGCAGTTACTAATACAGCCTAAAGTGGTGTGCGTTCTCATGTACCCATCAGGCTGGCAGTGGAATTGTCAAACGCCACGAAAATGCAGTGTGTTCAGCATGAGATGCTAGGCTATTCAATGCAAAAGCACAGGAAACTGATTAGGTTAAGAGCTTAGTGGCAGCAGGAGGGTGTACCTTGCATTTCTGATCTCATTTCACATGTTCAGGTTCGTGATTGAACTTAAAAATTCACTCCTTACATCATTCCTCACAGATGCTGAAAACGAGGCTGTCTGAGTCGACGTTCAAGGTGGAGTCTGCCACCACGCGTAATGTATCAGTAAACTTCATGCAGCATAATGCCTCGTGCTCTCGCTTCTTTGTTACTTTAGGAGGCATACAAGCAACTGAACACAGAGGCCTAACATTTTCTCAGACTTGTGACATAATAGCATTTGCCAACGCATGTCGACATTGTAAAGAGAAGTGCTCACTCAGGCGTTTTCCTAGTCCGTGTTCCCGTTGGCATTTTCTTTTTTTTTTTTTTTTTTTTTTTTCCCCGTTGGCATTTCTGTATTTGGCATTCACACCAAATGAAGAAGCGCCTGCCATAGCCCTGTTTCCCAGAGAAACACCTACTAAGTGCCGCTGGCTCTCTGGCCCTGGGCTGCAGCACACCAGGACCTCTTTGTAAGGACATTTAAAAAAATATGTTTTTTTTTAAGAGAAAGAGGAAAGGGAGAGAGAAACATCATGTCCCAGTGGAACTGAAACAGTGACCTCTTGGTGCATGGTCAACGCTCAACCACTGAGTCACACTGGCTGGGCTGTAAGGACATTTCTTAAAAATACATTTTTATTAATTTCAGGGAAGAAGGGAGAGGGGGAGAGAGAAACATCAATGATGAGAAAGAACCACTGATTGGCTGCCTCCTACACGCCCCCCACTGGGATTTGAGCCCATAACCTGGGCATATGCCCTGACCAGGTACATATGACCAGAGGCCAATGCTCAACCACTAAGTCATGCTGATCAGGCTCATTATCCAAAAAATGTAAATAATTTTGTGTCACTCCTTCCTTACCCCAATGCATACATTGCAATCCCTTCGTGGTGAATTCTATCAGTTACCTGATTGGAGACACCTCATCAAGCCACTTACGCTCTTACTGCAAGGCCGCCTATCCCCTCTGGCCTCAAGTCCCAACTGCTAAGCAGCCCTCCCTCTCAGTGGCCTCTCAAAGAGTTTCAACTCCAACCTGAAAACTACCCCAGTAAAATGTAACATAGAACAGTACCCAGCACAACAACCTAACAAAGCACAATAGATCCAGCTTATGGCACATAGCACCTTTTTTCTTACCATGTATCACAGTGTTAAAGAGCCAAATTCAGCCAAGTGAACTTGAAGATGTAATTGGCTTCATGAAGTGATTCATGAATCGAGTGGCATCCCATCTAACAACTAGAAGGTGCTGTGTTCTGAGAGCAAAGTGCACACTGGGTATCAGGATGGCGTGACCAGTAGGAGAATGAGGGCTGGTCGGGGCATCTGGGAGTGAAGCCTAGAAACAAAGGCCAGGACTCATGCTGGTGGTCTGTAAGGTCAAGGAGGGCCCGTGGAAGGTAATCGCTGGATTTGTTCGCTCCACCTGGGGACATGCAGGTGAGAGCGGTGGGAGCCAGCCTGTGCCCAGAGAGGAGCTGCCAGCAGTACCGGCGCTGTGGGGCAGGGCGGGGAGTGGTTGGAGCTTACGGGGGCAGGAAACTTCCTTCTTCCCTTCTCGGTTCTTTGGCTGATTGACAGACTAAGGAGAACAAATTTTGTACCTACTGGAGCCCCATACAGAGAGGGGCTGACAGGCTTGTCTGCCACCCTGAGCTAGATGAGGGGGTGGGGTCCTAGGCTTCAGCGGGGAGGGAGATCACCCACAGGAAGAGCAGCGAGCAGATGCTTCCAAGCAGTGAGCGATGGTGCCAGGCCCTGCCCGGCCCTGCAGGTGAGTCTCTGATCTAAGAAGCTGCCTCGCAGCAGTGCTCCTGGGAGAGGCCTCTGTCTAAACCCTCAGGTGGCTAAGGGGGAGGGGAAGCACTCTGTCTGCGAGGCCTGGATTGTCTTCAGCTCAAAACGATGTCCATGCCAGGTGGCCCCACTCTGGGTGGTGCATTCTGCCCCTCGCCTGCAGGTGAGGCAGGCGGTGAGGCGGTGAGGCAGCGGCCTGCAGGCTGCGAGGCCAGGACTTCCCAGCCTCAAAGGGAAGCCCTCAAAGGGCGCGGGCAGGACAGGCTTTCCCGGGAAGGGCAGTGTAGCTGCCAGGCACACTACTGGGCCGGATCGTGGTGGAGGGAAAAGCGGGGTGTATTGACGATTAGGGGGACGGTGCCTTCTGGGAAAAGCCATGAAAAGGGCTTGATCGGAAACAAGAGGCCGTAATGGGCACTTCTGTGATGGTGGCTGCCCACTGCCCCACCCCTGCTTCTGGACATGGTGCTGCAGCAGGGCAGTGTGTGGGTGCAGCTGCCTCCCCTCCCCTCCTCTTTGCCTCTGAAGAGAGACAAACGGATAAGAAAACAGAATTAATTACAACTAGCAGGGCCCGGCGTGGTGCAGTGGTTGAGCATCAACCTATGAACCAGGAGTTCAGTTTGATTCCGGTCAGGTCAGGGCACAGGCCCAGGTTGCAGGCTCAATCCCCAGTGTGGGGCGTGCAGGAGGCAGCTGATCCATGATTCTCATCATTGATGTTTCTCTCTCCCTCTCCCTTCCTCTCTCTGAAATCAATGCAAACATATACAAATAATAATCGCTTATTGTTTCCCAGCGGTAGCTCCCTAGAAAACAACAGACGAGCTCCTCCTTCCCAGGTCCCTGACAGTGAGTGCCCAGTCCTGCCCTGGCCAGGCCAGATTCCCAGCTGTTTCTTTGATCCTGTGCGGTACCTCCCCTGTGGGCTAGAGTTAGCCAGGCCGGCGCTGGCTGCTTGCAGTCAGGAAACTACACACACAGACCTTTCTAAGCTTTCTGTGTGGGGAGCCAGCAAAACATATCATGGGTGGAAGGCACAGAATTAAGTCTAGATAAAAATAATATCCAAAAATATACCAATTCACTTAGTTATTAAATAAACTGAGTGTAATGGCACAAATGACCCCCAAAATTTATTCAGCTTTTATGAGAGAAAAAGCCCCAATGACCTCATAGCTGTGATGGTATGGAGTTAACTACAAGTCTATATAATATAAAAGCCAGCGACCATAACAACCGAAATGACTGGTCGCTATGATGCCCACTGTGGCCAGCAAACCAGCCCAATCAGGGGGTGGGGCCTGCCAGCCAACCTCAAGGCCCCTCCCCCTGCCAGCCTGCCCCTAATGGGACTCACCCATCTGGATCAGGAGCAGGGCCGGCTGGCCAATCACACCCTCCCTTCCCCCCAGCCAACCCCCGCCCCCCCCAATCAGCCTGCCCCACCACAATAAGCCTGGAGGCACTCCCGCCTGCTGGCCTGCCCCTGGTTGCACCCCCACCCCCACCCCAATAGGGGGCGGGGCTTGCTGGCCAACCTCCTGCCACCACCACCTCCCAACAGGCCCAGCCCCGATACACTCCAACTGGGGCCGGCTGGCCGGACCCCACGCGTGCACGAATTCATGCACTGGGCCTCTAGTGTTAATATATAAGTGGGTTAAGTCCCCCAACTCACCAATTTATCTGGATTTGCCTGATGACACCTGACCTACTTTTCAGCATTCCAGGCAGCAGTGACTCAAAGCCCTTCCCAGTCTCAGCCCATAAAGTCGTCCTTTTGATAAACCGGACAAGCCTTTAGTGCCTCCCCAGGCACCTGGAAGGCACACTGGCACCAGGGGAGTGCTTGTAACACATGCAACCACCAAGCGCATTCTGGGCGTTCCAGGCTTGAGTCACAACAGGGACACAACGTCAGGCACTGTGATCGGGAGGGAGTCGCATTCAGGGGAGAGTTGTTGGGAGGCGGGGAGAGGAACCGGTAGAGCGCTGTGGGCTCCTAAGGGTCTGGAAACAAGTGGACAAAAGAATCCGAGGCGATCCAGTCTGCACCAGGCACGGCGCAAGTCTGACGAAGCGCATTGTGGTGTACAGTTGGTTCGACCTGGTCCTTTTCCGGCTGGGTCAGCCGGGCATGGGAATGGCAAGGCGAAGCTTGGTTACTCCCAAGCCAGTTCTGTCCGCCCAGAGCTTCCACTTCTGTGACGACTCGTCCTGGTAGACAGGGATGACAGTTACTTTAACACGCTCCGCCTGCAAAGCTGCAGCAGCTGCCTGCTCAGGAGCTCAGAGGAGACTTTGGGGAGAATACTGTGTCCAGAGATTTTATGTCTGATCAACATTTCTTAAAATAGGGCAGGACATGCTTGGGGACAAACAGAGGAATTGCTTTGTTCTAGAACAGCACTGTCCAGGGTGGCGGCTGCTGTCCACGTGTGGCTATTTAAAATACATCAATTAACAAGAAATAAAATGAAAAATTCAAGTCTTTAGCCAGATTTCAAGAGCTCAGCAGCCACGTGAGTCGCGTGACGACGCTACCAGACGGGCGAGGCGGTAGGACCTCTCCCTCGTGGCAGGACGTCCCGCTGAGCAGCAGGGCTCCAGAGAACCTGCTCTTGTCGGTGACAACGGCAGAGACATATTCCTAGCGGGGACGTCTGTGAATGTGCAGGTGACGCCTGTGGAAACAGTGCACTTAGCTGTTGGCCTAAACACAGAGGGGCCTTCAGAGGGAGAGACGACAAAGGAGAAGCGCTATTCGGGAATCACTGGTTCAGGTAGGAGACAACACAACGGGTTTATGGGAAAGGGAAGGGGACAACGACATCCGTGGGAGGAAGGCACGTCCACTGGTCGGTCAGCAGCAGCGATGCTACTTCTAAACAATACTTTGCATTTTCAGTCCAGTAGTGAGAATGATTGCTTTCCTGGTACGTTTGCAAACAGTTCTTTGGGATACAATGTTGTCCTAGGTCCAGTCCAAAGGTTATTTTACCCCATTTTATTTTTATTTTCTTAAAATATATCCTTATTGATTTTAGAGAGGAAGGGAGAGAGAGAGAGAGATAGAAACATCAATGATGAGAATCACTGATTGGCTGCCTCCTGCATGCCCCACACTGGGGATCAAGCCTGCAACCCGGGCATGTGCCCTGACCAGGAATCGAACCGTGACCTCCTGGTTCATAGGTCGACGCTTAACCACTGAGTCATGCTGGCTGAGATTATGGTACTTTATTTATTTATTTTTTCTAAATATATTTTTATTGATTTCAGAGAAGAAGGGAGAGGAAGAGAGAGATAGAAACATCAATGATGAGAGGGAATCATCGATTGGCTGCCTCTTGCACGTTGGACCGAGCCTGCAACCCAGGCATGCACCCCCGACCAGAATTGAACTGGGACCCTTCGGTCCACAGGCCGACGCTC